GGGGGTGAAGGACTCTCTCAGGCCCATGACCTTGCTCAGAAGTGAGGAAGCAGAGTTCAACTTCAGCAGGGGGTGGAGGCATCAAGAGCACCAACTCCAGCCTCAGCCTCCCTCCCCTTCTCTCCCTCCTCAGCCCTCCACAGGTGGTTGAAGAACCAACAAAGAAGTAGCATGGGGCTGAGTGGAATGTGGTGAAAACTAAGAAGGGCAGCCTTGGGGATTCTCCCAAGATGGAAGCATGGGGCTGAAAGGAATGAGCTAAAGGGCAAAGTATGTATGAGCTGAGTATTAGCAGAGTGTCAGCTGAGTATTGGCTGGGAGGAACAACTCCTGTTTCTCCAGGTGCTGCTCCATCTCCACAGTTGCCCTAGTAGATTCCAAAGTTCCGACAGGAAAACAAGCAGGAGGGAAGGGGGTCTCACTCAACCACTGGCTGGGCCCAACAAATTTAATTTTAAAGAAAAAAACTTCAGAAGAACCCAAGGCACCTGTTTTCAGGTACAGCCACTACCGTGTGATACAAGCCAGTTCTGCAACGTTGAATGCCTTTCACATCGCAGGGTAGATAGTAAGAATGTGAAAAAAAAAAAAAAAAAAGGCTAGGTTGAAACCAAACCAATCCTCCCCAAACAAAACCTACCCTTAAATGGCATCAAGCTATCCAATGACTCTTTGGCCCTAAATCGGTATTAGTTAATTAATAATCTATGAGACCTTGATAAATGAGTATTCTAATGACATTGGTGTTTATCTAGATATACAATCTACTCTTGCCTTTTTTTACATTATTGTTCAAGAATATTCCAAATTCCCAAATAAAAGTTTGTCATGGCCTGTTTGTCACGGCCTATAATCACCATGTAATATACATGTAATTACCACGGTGAGAGAACACCATTAATGAAAAATTAATAGATCATTCCTATGTTGACAACTCTTTTCTCTCCCTGATGGCATACTTCACCGGTGGCTACTGGGGAAAGTTCATTATTAAAAAGTCAAAGATTCTAACTCAGGGCTGCCCAGGTAATACATCTCATTTCTATGCATTCATCCCCCTTGTCCTGAAGCCTCTTAGTTATCTTTTTGAACATATGTTAGTTTTCTGGAATTCTAATGGAGATAGTCATATGCTGAGTATGAGATCCAAAGATTTGAAGATCCAAAGATTTGAAAACAAAAATATCAACAAGAAGGAACGATTTGTATATTGGTTTATAATTGATGAGCACTGGCCAATTACAATATAATGAGCTTTACTAAACTGTGGACTTTTTTGTTCTAGAAAAGAATGCATTACCAGTACATACATACTGTATCAAAAAGAGTGAAACTTTTCATCTCACGTTGGTTTTGTGTTCCCTTTCAATGCATTTAATAGTTCTAAGCAAGAGGCATCTTATTCTAAATTTTAAAAATGTGTCTATGGAGGTTCATAAAGATTTTGTAGTGTAAGATCAATGACTATTAAAATCTAACTCACATCATTTCTTTGCGCGCCTACCATGCTCCTATCACACTGTCTCCTAGTTTGGTCTCACAGGCTGCATACACCCTGGATACATGTCTTTGCCAACAAACCGGAATCCATCTTGGTTATTTCTCTGAATCCAGAAACTGGCTCAGCCAAAGTTGGGTGGGTGGGAGAGCCTTCAACCACGGCGCGTCCTCCCCTCAAGACAAAAGCTTTGCCAACAGGATTGCATGAGCGGAGCGGGGAGTCAAGAACAGTTGCTCCTCTGTCGTGTTCTGTCTCTCTCGTGGTTCAGGAAGAACTTGTGCACCTTACAATAAGCAGCCCACAAAAACACATTGAAACAACTGAAAATGAAGTCATCACACCTATTGAAATGTTCCCCCCGTCTGGAAAAACACCGTCGCAAGGACCTAAGAGAACCTCTAAGACGTTACCCAGGCCTGAGAGGCCACAGGTGCGCGGATCCCACGCCGGTCAGAGAGTTGTGATTGGCAAAGTGCGGCTTCAAGGAAATGCTGGCTGCCGGGCCCAGAGCGCGGCTCAGGGAAGCACAGAACTTGAGAACGAGAGGGCGCTGAGTGGAAGTGTGGGTCCTTAGTGAACCCAGAGCAGGCGGTAACACGAGGACATTTGCAGGTGTCCCTGCTCTTAATCCGCCAGAGAACCCTTCATCCTGCAGGACCTACCAGAGCAGGGGTCTAGGGCAAGCCCTCGCCCAGCTGAGAAGGGACAGGTGCCGAATGCCCAGATATTTTGAGCGTCCCTACAACAGCCAGCCCCATAGGCGCTGGTGGAGGGAGCGCGGTGCCGTGTGGTTCAGAGCAGGCTTAGCCGCAATCTTGCAAAAAGAATTAACATCTGGCTCTTTTCAAGGGGTGGGTGAAGCAAACAGCTTTTCGGGTTTGGGAAGCCTCCGAAACTGCTTCCCAAATGTCTGGGGTCTGGCCTTAGGGTACATGTTTTGCCCCTGAGTGTTTCCCCCTGGATGTTCAGGCCCAAGGGTATTTTAAGGTAAATGGATCCCACAGGCTTCTGACTCATCGACACACGAAATTCATCAGGTCACCGTTTGGAAAGAGCGACCTGGGGCCCAAGGATAAGGTGACCAGACATCCCGCTTTTGGCGGGACAGTCCTGATTTTTAACAGTTCGTCCCGCGTCCTGCAGCGTTTTTAAAAAGTCCCGATTTTTTTTTTTTTAAAGATTAAAATCGGGACTTTTTCAAGACGCCGCGAGACGTGGGATAAATTGTTAAAAATCGGGACTGTCCCACCAAAAGCGAGACGTCTGGTCACCTCCCCCAAGGAGCCGGCTTCTATGAGTCGCTGGGCTTGTTTCTTAGGAGCAGGCAGCCACCTTTGAACACAGACAAATAAAATGCAATCCCCAGACAAGAGTCTCGGGTCTAGTTCCAAATGTGGCACCTTTGAAACCAAGGGGTCCTCGAGTCACCAAGACAGAGCTTCCCTTCCCTGTCCTGCAGAAGTTTAAGGAAGCCTTACCGTGTGCAGGGTTGAACGTGGACCAGGAATTCAGAGCTGCTCCATGCAGAGCTCACATCAACCTTCAGCAGCCCTGACTCCTTGCCCATTCCCGAGGCCTCAGCCTCCGACCAGCGCAGTGAGCAAGCACTGCCCGGCTCAGGGCCCCTTCTGGTGGTTGCTCAGGGGCGAGAGCTAAGCTGGGCCCCTGAGCCCACAAGCCTGCAGGAAATCATCCTTTCTCTCCAGCTGAGGGACGGTGTTCTGAGCCATTTGTTGTGAATGTTATTAAAATCATGTGAACCTGAGGGAGCGCAGTGGGAAATGGTTTGGATGGGATTTGTTTGGGAGAATAAAACAGAGCTAGGTGTGCGATGTGGGTGTGAAAAATAGGAGAAATGCTCTCTGGGTACGGAAGCCCAACATGCTATTCCTTCCACTGAAGCGCCAGCTCCTAAGGCTCTATGAAATTCCTCTCCACCCTAAGAACCCAGGGCACAGTTCCCGGCATGCAGTAGGGTTTTAATAAATATATCCTAATGGGTAGGATGGGAGCACCACAGATCTACCCTTCAGATGCATCTTGGGCCACCAGGAAGCGCACCACCTCCTCCTGAAGCTCCTGCAGGTGGGACCCCAGGCCAGCAGCCCCCACCTGTCCTCTCACCGGAACGGGCACTGCTGCCTCTCTGCCCCTGCCTGGGCTTCTGACACCTGGGGAAATGCAGAGCCCTTGATCAGGAAAAGGAACTGAAAAAGGTACTGAGGGCCAGGTGGCCAGGACGTGGGCCACATTTGTCTCCCTCTCTTTACAGGGTTTCTAACCAGGTGTTCTCAACTCTGACCGCTTATTAGAGTTCTTAAAATTCGCCGTGCCTGGGCCCAACATAATCAGAATCTCTGGAAGGGCCACCCAGGAACCAGTCTTTTTCTTAAAAGCTCCCCTTCTGATTCTCCCAGGCAGTCCAGGGTGAGGGCCACTGATTTAAAGTGACTTGAGTAGATTCCTGTTCTGGAAGAGTCCCTGGAAATAATCCTCGGAACAGAGGACTTGATAGTTTTCTAATTGAATGAATAGGATTGGGGATTATGCTTCTCCCGACTTCTTCTCCTCATTTTTGCTCCCCACCCCCGCTCCCCACCAGGTGCCTGAAGGATGATGACCAAGCTCCCGAATCCCCTACTGTGTCCAAATGAACCAAACTCAGACTCTCCTCAGACATTCAATGAGTTTGGAGACCTCTGCCTTCCAACCCAGCTAGGTAAAGATTGGAAAGCAAGCACTGACTCAGGGGTCCTCAAAGGACACACGGGGCTCCCACGGGGAGGAGACTGGGCTTGGGAAGACAGAACAGAACAGGTGCCTGAAGGCCTTTGGAAGGAATTCTACCACTTACTCTTTTTTTTTTTTTTTTTTTTTTTTTAATTAAAAACAAAACAAAACACGAAAACTCAAAATGCACAAAAATAAAAGGGTGAAACAGTTATACAAGTTTCAGGACAACTCTAAAACTCCTTTTAGGCGGCAGATACCATGGTTTGGGCACGGACTCTTGAGGAACCCTTCGGCCCTGCAGTGGCTTCTTCCCGTGGCCTTCTCCGCGCACACGGGAAGCGGGCTAGCTACACACAGCGCCCCCAGGAGCCCTCGGGCCTTTGCAAAGCGGCAGTCAGCAGCGGGCGGGGGAGAGAAGGCACGGAGGAGCGGGGAGCACTCTGTTCCCAGTCTTTGCACATGGACCCAGACCCCAGCGACCCTAATCTATTTCTTTGAAAGAGATAAACTGAAGGTCTGGGGAAATCACCGTGCACCCCGGGCCAGGGTGCCCAGGATAATACTTTTGGATAACTGCGTTGTAGGAACTGGGGAATTGTAGGAAGCGTGTCCTCCCATCGGCGTGGCCAGGCCCGCGGGGCTGACTCCGGGGGACGTTCAGCAGGAAAGGCGGGCGGCGGTCTCCCTCTCGTTCTCCCTCTCGTCGCTCCCCGTCTCCTGGCCCGCGGTGCTGTGGAGAGGCGGTGTCGGAGGCTCCGGCCCCGGCTCAGAACGGGTATTGCGACACATATATCCGCAGCCGGATCACAGAACTGCCTCTGAAGTTGATGACGGTGTTGACAGTGATCATTTCCAAGTCCAGCTGTATGTCCCGGGGCCCTTTGATGGGGCGTGTCATCACCAAGGTGGCACTGATGGGGCCTGTTTGCTGCGGACGGAATTGGGGACATTTGTTAGAGAAGGCCTGGCCAGCCTAAAGGGGGTTGGGAGATCTGGTCCTTAGACACAGCAGAGAAGGTGAGGAAAGCAGAGCTGTCCAATGGAACCCCCACGCTCTTCCTGGCTTTGCCCACGCACCACCTGGCTCTTTCCTGCTAACTCTTAGGGTCTCACCGAGAAACATCGCTTCCTCGGAGGAGCCTTGCCTGCTTTCCTCCATCCAAGTCACCCCTCCTACTCACCCTCTGGACCCTCTGCCAATCCTCTGGACCCTCTGCCATTGCACCTGCTACTTTGCATAGAACGGGAAGTATTCATCACCATGCGTCATCATCCACACTATTTCCTTGGATCACCTCCGAAGTCCAGGTCCCCATTAGACCAGGTCCCCATAGACCAGGAGCTCTGTAGAGTTCAGATCTACAGGGTTAGGTCTGTCACCACTGAATCCCCTAACCGTCACTGTGGGGCCGGCCACACAGCAGGTGTTCAGTAAACATGTCTTGAATGAAAGAACAAGTGATGAAACAGAGTGATCTGAAGCTGTCACTTCACTTCTTGGGGCCCAGCTCCTAAGTCAGTAGCCCCCAGAGCACCTTGGACTCTCAGGTCTTCTGCCTCCGTGGACTGTCCATGTTGCCTGGGGCACCTGTCATCTGTTTATGAGCCTCCGGGTGGTTTCCGTGCGCAGCCCTGCCGTGGCTCCTGTCTAGACACCATCCTCACCCCCAGCTTTACCATTCGGGAACTCTTGCTGTGGTCCTAAAATTGTCACCTGAACTGTCCTCCTCCACTGAATCTTTTTCTGAAAGTCCCGAGGGAGGGAGGGACAGCAGCCCGACATCAATCGAGCACTCACCATGCGTGAGGCCACTTAGGTGCACATGTGCTTATGTAACCCTCATGGGAACCCTGACAGGCCTTGCTCCTCAGAGGGTGGTGGTCCCTGGACCAGCAGCATCGGCATCCTCTGGGAGCTTGTTAGAGAGGCAGGACCTCGGGCCCCACCGGTGACCTCCTGAGCCAGGATCTGTAGCTTCCCACAACCCCCAGGTGACTGACGGGCACACCAACTGGGAAGCGCCCCTCTGAAGGCACAGACCCTGGCTACCGTATTAAAGGGGTCTCATTATTTCCCCGTTTTATAAAAAGCAAACTGAAGCCCAGTGAGGTTAAATAATTGCTCAGGGTCACCCAACTAGTCAGGGGCAGAGCTGAGGGATTTCACTCAGGTGCTTCTGGCTGCCATCTCCAGACCTGTTTCACTGCACAATCACCAGAAGAGACTGGTGGGTACCACTTTGTCTCTCCTGCAGGAAAGATGCTCAGGAGTCAGTGAATGGCCACACGCTGGGCCCCTGGGAGGACACAAGGATACGCTGGACAATCACTTCCTGCGAGCTGCAGAGCCCAGCAACTGAAAGCAACCGTCTCTGCAAAACCAAGAAGCTTGGCCACACCCGGCGTTTTATCGGTCTCCTATAAAGTTCTGGACATCTCCAAGCACTCCACAGGCATGTCAAGGGTGGGGCTGGCAGACAGGTGCCAGCTGGGTACCGGGACCTCCACTGTCCACTGGTGCAACTTCCTCTTAGCATCAGCTCCCTCTGTTCACGTCAGCATCGGCGCAACTGGCACCTGCTCATGCAGAGGACGGCTCAGACTTCCTTGTCAGCTCTTGCAAAACCTGGGAGCCCTGGGCCAGGACTTCAGCGGACACAGCCACACAGGGAAAGGCAGCATTTACATATGCAAATATCTCACCGGCTTTTATTGTTTGCATGAACAAAGGCCAAGGGTTGAGAGCCTTGAGCTGTGGGTAGCCCTCTGGAGGGAGAGCTGCAGAGCCTGGGAGGGGGAATGGAACTACTGGACTCTTCCAAGTTGTTCCTTGGGGCTTTCCCAGGCAAAGCCTCCAATTTGGAAGTAACTATAGAGATCAGCAAGTCCTATTCCTCCCCCCGCCCCCCCCCCCCCCGCCCCCGGCTCAAACCTGCAGCAGCTGGAGAAAGGCCAGACTCCAGGACAAGGGAGGATTCAAGGGCCTGCCAGGAGAGCAGAGAACAGCCCCCTACACCCCCCTGTAGGCTTTTAGGGCAGAGTCAGGCGTTAACAATGCCCTCTGAAAGCCTCAGGTCATCGATGGGCTTGGTGGTCACTGGAAAATGATGATGGGAGTGGTGGTGGCGATAATAGTAACAATGGTAAAGGGGGTGGTGGGTGGAGGTGGTGGTATTGGTTGATACTATGCAGCTCAGGCTATGACCTTTCATACATCTCTTATTTGGTCTTCCTAACCCTGCAGTGTAACTAGGTCAAGTAGACTAATTAAGGTTACAAAACTTGCACATGGCACTGGAGTGCCTGACTCACCAAGTCCTTCTCTGGCCACTCTGCTCAGTGATGAGGTCTTGGGACCTCTCCATTTCCTGCCGCCTCACAGCACTTACCCTACTTGAGAATCGCCACTTTGCATTGTAAATGTTTGCCTGGTTGTGCCTCCCCCGCACCAGTGTGGGCTCCTCAAGGGCAGAGGCTATATCCTGTTTGCTCCTGAGCTGTCCAGCCTGACACAAAGCCACACGCTGCTGAATTAATGTTGGCGATGGGAGGAGTGAGTTACAGAACGGAGTTGGTCCAGGACACTGAATGAGAGGCGGAGCGACTGAAGGTTCCCCTTAAACCAGCTCGGACTTCTGCTGCGGGAGGAGGAGACGGTTCCACAGGAACCGAGAGCACCTGGGAATCCTCTGATCCACCCGAGGGTGGCCCCGGGGAGCCGGGCTCCAGACAGCTCCAGACAGCAGGGCGAGAAGAGAGCGCTCCAGGCCGTTTCCCCCTCGCCCAGCCCAGCTGTCTGATAAAAAACTGTCACCCCGTGTCCCAGGCCCCGCGCTAAGTACATGATCTCATCTGATCACAGAGTAAACACTGCCGTCGTCTGTCTTCCCAGACGAGGAAGCGGAGGCCCAGCAGGTTAGGTAACAGGCCCAAGGTCATGAGGGTGGCCAAGTGCGGGACGCCAAGGAGGCCTGGTTCCAGAGCCCACGCTGGAGTGACTATGCTGTCACTTTCTGGTTTGTCTGTATACTCTCGTTTTTCTTCCATAAATATGTAAAAACAAGGTCATATAAAAATAAAAACAAAGTTTTAAAGAGAACAGCAGCGCATGGCCTCCTGAGGAGGGTGCTACCTGATGGACAGCTTGGACATGAGTAAGCCGCCTTGTCCGTCTTCCTCCTCCCATGCCCGAGGCCTCGGCACAGGCTCCCTGCACTGAGCCTGTATTCAGCCCTCGGGACCTTCCCAGCCAAAGGCCACCTCCCCGGCCCTCAGCGTTTCCAGCCACTCTCAGAGCCGGCCTGCGTCCCCTCCTCCCCTCAGCACCCTCTGAGTAAATACTAAAGAACGAGGGCCCTTTTCAACATCCTCAGAGAGGGCACAGCTCCGTGCAGCTCAGCTGAGTGAGTTCCAAGGGGCCCTTAGTTACTGCGACAATCCAGGCAGCAGAGGGGGCTGCCGGGAAGAAGCCCTCCCCCCTGTCCACTCCGCCTGCAGGATAACCTTCTTCCCACCGTGAGGCTCACAAGTCAGCCACAAGGAACCTCTGGGTCTAAGGGGGTTTCAGGGGGTGGCATCCTGGGGAGCCTGATCTGGCCTAGACAAGACCGCCTTCTGCAGGTCTGCTGTTCTGTTGGGAAAGGAAATACGGAGACAGTGGTGTCCATGAAGGTATTTTAACTCCCCAAGAGAAGCATCGGTGTGTCCTCTGATTGGGGCCCCGGTGTCTGTCCAGATGAGAGAGGCCAGGCTGGAGAATGCCCGTGGGCGAGGCTGCCCACGGAAGCTCACAGCTGTGGGTTTCTGGTGGGCAGCTGTAGCTCACGGTTGGCGGGGAAGGGCAGACATAAACACAGCTCCGTCTCTTTCACCTTGCAGAATCGCCTCTCCCTTCCTCCCCTCCCATCTCCCTCCAAAGCCCTTGACCTTGTTACACAGGCCTACAGATGTTGGCTTCACAGGCCCAGTGATCGCACGGGACCTGGCCCTCTTAGGGTCTTGCCAAAATCATGTGAGTGAGGAGGTAGGCAGGACGCCAGGACCTGGGACCTTTTCTAATCCATCGGTCGTAGCCTCTGTGTCTGAGGCCTCTCTGCTTTCGTTGTCGCATCCCCAGAGGCAAGGATTGGGAGGGGCTGCCAGGACTCGGGAGAGGAGAGGGAGAGAGCTCAGGCACGTGGCCCTCTTGCAGGCCCTGGACCATCTGGCCTAAAAGTGGGTAAGCTCTCACGGCCTCTCTTTCTGAGGATCGCTGCCCACAGTGACTCCGGGGGACCACCTGCTGTATCTGTTAGAAATGCAGATTCCTGCCGAAACCGGTTTGGCTCAGTGGATAGAGCGTTGGCCTGCAGACTGAAGGGTGCCAGGTTCGATTCTCATCAAGGGCATGTACCTTGGTTGCAGGCACATCCCCAGTAGGAGATGTGCAGGAAGGAGGCAGCTGATCAATGTTTCCCTCTCATCGATGTTTCTAACTCTCTGTCCCTCTCCCTTCCTTTCTGTGAAAAATCAATAAAATATATTTTTTTAAAAAGAAATGCAGATACATGGGGGGGGGTGCTACTCCCCCCCCAAAAAAAAATGATATCAGGTGCTAAGCCCTGGAACCTGTAAATATTACTGTCTAAGGAAGGAAAAGGAAACTGTGCAGGTGTGATGAAGATAAGGATCTTGCCACAGAGCGATTATCCTGGATTCGCTGGGTAGCCCGAAACCCAAACACAAGTGTCTCTGTGAGAGACAGTGTTGCCCAGAGGCTGGAGTGATGTGGCTGCGAGCTCAGCGAGGCCAGCAGCCACCGGGCACTGGACGAGGGACGGAAGCCATTCTCGCCTGGAGCCCCGGAGGGAACACGGCTCGGCCAATACGCTCTGTCCGCTCAGTGGAAGCGGTTTCAGGCTTTCGGCTCCTGAACGGAGTGCGAATAAATTTCTATTGTTTTGGGCCACCACATTTTTGGCAATTTCTTACAGCAGCCACTGGAAACTGGCCTTCCAGGCCTCGGCCACCATATTTCGGATTGTTCTGGATAATTCAGGTGATTCCAGATTTTCTGGAACCCACTTTTTGAGCCAGTGCCCCAATTATCACCGAAATGAGAAAAACATCTGAGCCGTGGGCTCTAAGAGGTGCCACCCCAGGTGGCCGGAGGTAGAGCTGCTCTCTCTCCTCCCTCTCTCTCTCTCTCTCTTTCTCTCTCTCTCTGAGCTAATACGGCAGCCCCATGGGGTTACTGGGCACTTGAAATACGGCTACTGCCAAGGAAGAACCTGATTTATCATCTTATTTCATCTTCACGGGTTTAAATTTAGAGACAGTGGCTACTGTGCCGGAGACGCAGGCAGAGCCCACCTCCGCTGGGCATGCCTTTCTACTCACTGCAGCGTAGGTACCAGGGGGCGGGATGCTTTACAAACTGCCCTATTCCCAGTTTCTAGTTGTGCGTAGTGGCCACTTGGTAAGCGTTTGTCAAACGAGATGGATAAGAGGATATGCAAATGCCTCTTCCGTGGAATTGTGGGAGGAAAGAGGCGGAAGGTTGCATCGTGGCCTAGTTCTTCGTGGCCCAGAGGAGGATGCTGAGGCTCACGGGGGAGAAGTGGCTCTCACGAGGCCATACAGTAAAGCTGCTGGAACAGCACCTTGAAGGCCTAACTCCCCTCCCCTCTCCTCTTCCCCCTCTACCCCAGCCCCTCCTAGCTGCACGCTGGCCTGTTTCTAGAAGCACGTGCCAGGCTAGAGGACAGGTTGCATGGTTGAAGACAGTGACCATCTGCCCGGCTGGCATGGCTCAGTGGTTGAGCATCGACCCATGAACCAGGAGGTCACGGTTTGATTCCCAGTTGGGGCCCATGCCCGGGTTGTGGGCTCGATCCCCAGTGTGGCATGTGCAGGAGGTAACGGATCCATGTTTCTCTCTCCTCATTGATGTTTCTCTCTCTCTCTCTCTCTTTTCTTCTCTCTTCCTCTCTAAAATCAATAATAAATATATATATATATATATATATATATATATATATATTTTTTTTTTTTTTTTTTTTTTTAAGATAGTGACCATGGCTCGCCACCGGTCTTACCCGCATATAGAATTCTCTGCCCTCATTCCCAGACTTGATCTGGAAAATGTAGTAAGCGCCAGGGTAGCGGGTTGTGGCTTGCATTTGGAAGATGTCAGCAGGAACGGAGCGCACGGACACCACGTCCATGTCCCGGTACAGGATGGTGAAGGGCTGGTCTCTGCAGCCGGTGTTCTCGGCGGGACACATGCAGCGGCTGCGGAGAAGGCGGATCGTGTGAGAACGCGGCCAATCCTTCCCCGTGGCTGGTTGGAACCATTTCCCCATTTAAAACGCGAAAAGGAGGCCACCCCGTCTTTGTCTCCCAAATGCGGTAACTGTAGTCGCCGCTGCCGCTGCCTCGCATTTAAAACCTCTCGGGCATGTAGGCGAGCGCCCTGTTTCCTAGAGAATGGCCCGTTCTGGCCAACCAGATAGTCTTGTGACGGGCGGTATAACCCGGAGGTGTCTGGTTTTCGGAGTACACCGGACCATTCTCGAAGGCAACTCACATCTGTCAGTGTGTTCAAGTCAGGGAAATGTGCCACCACCATGGCACAGCCCTTCACGTCCCAGCCATACACACTCACTGGGAAATGTTACTTCTTGTTTCTGTACAGAAAACAATGAATTCTCATAGTGAAGAAACCAAGGCCACTCCAGCCTTTGTAGCCTCTGCACATGCTGTTCCTTCTGCTCTTCCACTCTCAGTCCCGTAGACTCACCTTCCCATTCCAACTCCAACATCATTTCCTCAGAAGGGCGTGTAAGCTCCCAGTCTAGACCAGGTCCAACCTAGTCTTCCATTTTCCCACTGTCTCCCCTCCCCGTTCCTAGCACCTGTCACAGCCTGCAATAGTGCACGCCTATGTGACGGGTCGTCTAACGTCTCTCTCCTCCTCTACGCGGAGAGCAAAACCCAGGGCACCCAGCGCTCTGTCTGGCTCACAACAGGATCTCAACTAGCACCTAAACGAATGTGTGGAAGCATTTTTAACATTTTGTTCTTTGAGGCTGCATCGAAATTGCCAAGTCAAGTGTCCCCGGTGTCTAACGGTCACATTAAAATGTCATGTGTCACACGAAGAACGGTTTCCTAGAAGACGCTGGGATGGGTCCCAGCTGAAGAGAACCACAAACAGCTGGGAGCGGTGGCATGGAGCGGAGATCTGACAGGCGGGGCAGATCCGTCTGCGTGGCAATGGGAGCAACGCCTTCCATGTGCAGACAATGTGTGCGTGAAGGCCGGGAGGCGGGAAAGCCGGGGTAGAGGTGAAAGCGTGCCCTGTTCAGGTTGGCAGGAGAACAGGACACCTGGGCAAGGAAAGGACCTGGAAGAGGTGGCCGGGGTCTGGTTACACTGGGACGTGGAGACAGGGGTCACTGGGCATTAGCGGTGTCCCGCCGGGGGCCCCACCGCCACACCAGCTCAGGGCTGCCAGCTGGACCCGGTCCATTTCCAGGCCACAGACAAGGGCAGCCTGGAGAAGCCCAGGGAGAACCGGGAACGGAAGGCTGTAGGAGTAAGTAACCCGGGCTCAGCTCTGCCACAAAGGGCTCTGGGACCAGAAATACGAGACTCCTCTGCAGAGGGCTGCTTGGAAGCACAGCTCTGAGCAACAAGGGGGATTGTGTGAGAACGTGGTCAATCCTTTCCAGTTGCTGGAAAGGAGCCTGTCCCTGCTTTGTCTTCTTTTGTCCTTTTTACAAATTTTTTTTTCTTTATTGATTAAGGTATTACAAGTGTCCTTATCCCCTTCTCCCCTCGCAACCCCCCACTCATGCCCTCACCCCCCTGGTGTCTGTGTCCAATGGTTAGGCTTATATGCATGCATACAAGTCCTTTGGTTGACCTCTCCTCCTTCCTCCCACCCTCCCCTGCCTTCCCTCTGAGTTTGGACGGTCTAATTGATGCTTCCCTGTCTCTGGATCTGTTTTGGTTCATCAGTTGATGTTGTTCATTATATTCCACTAATGAGCGAGATCATGTGGTGTTTATCTTTCTCTGCCTGGCTTCTTTCGTCAGTGTCGATCAGAGGAGGAAGCACACTGCTACGCCAGGGCCTCCTCTGAGATGCTGCACCATGGGCGTGCCCAGGGCATCCCAGGGTTAGGGCCGGGCCTGGCTCAGGGTGGTAAACGTGTCACCAGCAGAGAGGAGGACAGAAGATGCGCATGCGTGTGTGTGTGTGTGTGTGTGTGTGTGTGTGTGTGTGTTCCTGAGGAGGAACTGGGACGGTTAAATGGGGACTAAAAGAAAGAGAAGGAACTCCGAGGAGCCCATACACACACACACAGAAAACCGCTGTCCGGTGCTGTCAGCTGTAGAGGTGGTCTTCCCTTTAGTTCCGGCCCCAGCTCTAGTGTTTGCATCTGGTGAGCTAGTGAACAGCAAACGTCGCGACCCTGGGAACGCGATGAAAGGACGCTAAGTACCCGGGTGCTGAGAACTTTCTGGTGACATGGCCTGCTCCTTGCTGCTCACAGCACAGTCCAGGGAGACTGTCCGTCTCCCCTGGGACCTTGTTGGAAAGCCAGGCCCTCAGGCCACCCCGAGCCCACTGAGTGGGGACCTGCCCTCTACCATGACCACCAGTGGGTCCAACGCACAAGACATCAGAGAAGCCCAAGCAAGAATCCCGTGGATCCAGAGCCACGCTGTCAAAGGGAAAGAAAGTTCTCGAACTCTGCCTCTCCTCTTGGTCAGCCCCAGGAATCTTCCTGTAGCTCTGGCGTGCGTGGGGGGGTGAGTGAGGGCTGTGTGCTGTGTGTGCGGCTGGGGGCACAGATCCGATCCCCTGGCAAGTGCATTCCCACTGCACTGGCACCTCCCGGACCAGACCCCTCGCCCACGTCCCCATTTCCCAGGGGAAGCCACGACTCACTTGTCGCTGATCTGAATGTACGGCTCCTCACAGCGGATGGGGTCGATGCACTTGAACCCCCCTTGCAGATTGTAGCAGGTCTGCTGCAGGGTGCACGTGTGGTTTCTGTGCTCGCACTCGTTGATGTCTGAAAGGCAGGGCGGAGGAGAGGCTGAAGCAGGGCGGTGTTTTCAGGTGCTGGCCCTGGGCCAGGGGGAGGGGTCCCTTAGGGTGGGGGTTGCCTGAGTCTTACTGCAGAGCTGCCCTGGCCTGGAGGGCAGCCCCTGGCCCCCTGGGGCTACTGAGCACTGAGAATGTGGCTGGGCCACGTGGAGATGTGCCCTGGTCAGTGGAAAAGACACACGAGACTCGGACAACTTAGTACAAAAGAACGTAAACTGTCTACTAATAACTTGTATTTGGAGCACATGTGGGAACATTTTGGATAGATTGCATTACATTAAATGTAGTCTTAAAATTCATTTAACCTGTTTCTTTTCACTTTTTTATTTTTTTTAATATATTTTATTAATTTTTTTATAGAGAGGGAGGGAGAGGGATAGAGAGTTAGAAACATCAATGAGAGAGAAATATTGACCAGCTGCCTCTTGCACACCCACCACTGGAGATGTGCCTTCAACCAAAGAACCTGCAATCAAAGAGCTCTTGACTGGAATTGAACCTGGGACCCTTCAGTCTGCAGGCCACCGCTCTAACCACTGAGCCCAACCGGTTAGGGCTCTTTTCACTCTTTCAATGTGACTCCTGGAGAAATTTAAATCACATGCCTGGCTCCCATTTGTAGCTCATGTATCTGCATTGCTTGGCACTGCAATGGAGGGTTCTTGCTGGTGTTGGGGCAAGGGTGGTTCCAGAAGGCTGAAGTGGGTCAGCCGCTCAGCTACCCGCCTCCCCCACCGGCCCCAGTGGGTGGAGCATGGGGCTGGAAATTGGGCAAGTGAAGGATCTGAACAAGACCCACTCCCGACTCAGCACAGATGCTGGCCCTTTGGGGACCTAGCAGTCAGATGTGTGAGGTCTCCCTGGCGTCCACTCTCTAGGAAGTCAGTAGAGAAAGGTTGGCCAGGAGGTCCCCAGGGGCCGTGAGAAAGCCTGGGCTCAGGCTGCTCAGGTCACAAAACGTCCTCGTTAGGTCGGGAGCAGCCCTCAGGGGGCCGCAGATCTGCCCAGGGAGACAAGACCAACCCTTGGTGGATGCCACCTCTATCTGCAGAGTTCACTTACAGACGTGAGAGTGGTCATGTGCTTTCTGGGGCCAAAGGATGCATCCCAGGGCAGGGAGGCACCAGCCCAGGCACCCTGCCCAGAAAGTGCCCCTCTGGGAGCCACCAACACCCACTCATGCTCTCACCCCTGTCACCTTCCCAAAGCCGCACAAAGTCCCCAGGGAAGACATCTGAGCCAGCCCCACCGCACACCCCCCTCCACCAGGCCCCTCTGGCCGGCCTACCCTGGCAGCTCCGGTTGTCGTCCAGCAGGATGTAGCCAGGTGGGCAGGAGCAGAAGTACGTGCCGGGCTGGTTCACACACTCGTGCTGGCAGAGGAACTCGGAGAAGCTGCACTCATCCATGTCTGGGAAGGGTGGGGGAGGGCGGAGACACAAGTTACACCTACTGTTATAATCACAGACTCCCTGGAGGTGGGAGCTCAGTGGTCGTCTACTCCCGCTTCCTCACTCCCGGACACATGACAGCCTTACTGCTAAGAAGCTGCCAATTTGCTTCTTGAATACTTCTGGTGACGGGGAGCTCGCTACCCACTGAGGCAGCCCATTGAAAGACGGACAGCTCTGTTAGGAAAGGATTTCCAGCAGGGAGGTGAACTCTCTCTCCATCGAGCTTCCCACTCCCTCTGCCTCTGGCCCTGCTACGCTGCTGGCTCTTTGTGCCCTGTGGGTGGATCTACCCTCCATCTCTGTCTGCTCAAAGGAGTTTTCTGATTACAGAGCTCTTCCTCAGAGCCCAAACATCACTCCCTGGGCCTGCTCTTTATAAGGCCAACTTGATTAATTGTCCCAAGTGGATAAATAGCTTTATTCCTAAAATCACAACTAAAAGGGACACATCCAGAAAGCCAGGGAGTGCCCATTATATCAAAACTTCACCATGTCCAGAAACCTCCTTGAGAGAGTGGCTTGGGGGGGCGGCCGGCCTGCCTCCCTCGGGGGCCTCGGGCCTCTGAACTGGAGGCAGTGGCAGTGGCTGCCGAAGCAGGCTTTGCAGCGCAGCCAGCTCTTGGTCACACACGGAGTTTGGCAACGAAGCCTTTGTTTGGGCGTCATTCAATCAACAGGCCAAAGAAAACATGTTTTCATTTCATTTGTTGTTTCCCGAAAATTTGCTTTCACGCGTTTCCCCCTGTGACATGTCCTCGGATTGCTCTGGAACTCACAGGCCGCTGATGGCTGGAATCACCCCGAGCGGTTGTCAGCCAATGAGGAGCCTTCTCCACCATAGGATAATCCGGGTGTTACAGGCCTGATGCCTCTCACGGCCTCCCAGTCTCTTCCGGGATCTTCAGGTGATGGGTTAGGTGCCAGCAGGACTGGGATGCTGATTTGATGGCCCCTCCTACTCCCAGGGAGCCTTGTCCCAGTGGAGTCCTGTCTTTGGCCCCGCCCATCAGAACAAGGTGGGTGCTCACTCTTCACAGGCTCCTGGAATGTGTACATGGCTTCCATTGTGGCCCCATTCTGTCTCGATGGCCAGCAGTGCTGTGGAGATTTGTCACTTGGTGGTATTGTGGTGAGGCAGGCCCAAGGAGGCTGAAAATGGGTCGGTGTGTAGACTTGGTGCAGACCTTCAGCAGAAGCAGTAGCAGCCCCTGGCGGTTCCTGACTCTTGCTATTATGTACCAGGCACCAAATGAAATGCTTTACCTGCCTCATCTGATTTCGTCCTCACCTCAGCCTGTGAAGGAGATACTATAGTAGCCATGTTTTACAGAGGAAAAAAATGGAGGTTCGGTAACTTAACTCAATTTCCAGATAATGACCGACCAGTGAAGTGGGAATCTGAACCCAGCCAGCCTCCAGATCCTATACTTGTTAACACCACCCTGTAAGGTCTCCCTGAGTCGATCATATTGGGGACTTAGGATGGACGGATGTGGGGAGTCCTGAGGTTGGGGAGTATCCCACAAGCAGGGTGAGCTTCCACGGGGCAGCAAGGGGCCGTAACAGACACACTCAGGGTATCTTAGGGTCTGCAATCCCCAGACTGAAGAGCTGAAATACAAGCCCAGTTTCTGGCAGGGAGCATGCATGAGGCCCTTTTCACTCATCCACCTGAAAACCCATGGTTTCCGGGACCAGCTGGGCTTCCCCAATCCCCGAGCGACGAGGGACATGGATAGGAAGGGACTGGTGCCGCATGGAGGGGCCACACTAGCTGTGGTGACAGTGAGGGTAACGTTTCTTGGGGAGAGTGATTGGCAGAGAAAGGGGGTAAGTGGAAGAGACGGGACATAAATTCCATGTCACATGCTATCCGAAGCCAGCCCTAAAGCCCTCGGTGTCCAGGGGTCATGGTCCCTCTAAGTCTGAAGAAGTTGGCCATCTGAGGTGAAGCTAGGCAACAGACAATCCCTGCCAAACCACCGAGGGGATCAAGTGCTGGAAAAGACCCTCAGAGAAACACGTGAACCTGTAATGACACTTAGCCACACCGACATCTCATCCTGGCGACCATCCATGAGGGTGTTTGTTTTTCAATGAATAAGGAAACTGAGGCCCAGGGAGTGCACTACACAATAGAGCCAAAATTTGAACTCGGCTCCGTCTGGCTCCACCATACCACCTCTGTGGGTGGGCATACACCTCTGTGGACGTGCAAGCAATTCTAGAGACACAAATGGCCCCATTTCCCGGTGTTAACCTTCCCACCAATTAGTTCCTTGGCCCGATGCCCCAAAGGGTGCCATACGGGAAACTGAAATCTAGGAAGAAAGCAGCTTGTCACACCCGAGGGTATTTTATTACCGCTTCTGAGCTGACATTTAATCTGTGGAAGGCTCCCTGTCCCTGCCCTGGCTTTCCTGGCCCCTGGGAGAGGTACTCGTTTTTCCAGGGAACTCTGTCCCCAAACACTGCAGTCTGAGTGGAGTTCTCACACGGTCCCATCACGACCTGGGTCAGCTCCTGTCACAGTGAGACCCAGGATTAGGAAACGCTCCAACCTGCCAGACAGAAAGGCTTGCACACCCTAGACCAGTGGTCAGCAAATTCATTAGTCAACAGAGCCAAATATCAACAGTGCGACAACTGAAATTTTTTTTGAGAGCCACATTTTTTAAACTTAAACTATCTAGGTAATTAAGTTATTAACTTAATTAGGGCACTCCTAAGCTGGCCTCTGCTAAAAACTCAAGGGGCCAAAGAGCCGCACGTGGCTCGCAAGCCGCAGTTTGCCGACCACTGCCCTAGGGCATGGCAGCCACTTGTTTTGAAAAATACAGAGAAGCATCATGAATTCGACCTGTGCTCATTTACAAGTAATGATGATGCCAAGAGTGGGTGGGTTGGAGCTTAATTCAACATTTACCAAACAACAAAAACAACAACAAAAATGAGGCTGGGGGACGGAAAAGAAGGAAGAACAAAAGGAAGAGCTGTGCATGGCTCTGTGCAGGACGCTAATGAATTGGAGTTCGATGTGGTCCCTGTTTTCAAGGAGTTGACAAGAGTTTACAAGTTTCTTATTACAAGAAATAAGAAGAGAATTAGGACAGAATCCACAGTCTAGCATGGGCAGAGAATCAGCTTCTCGAGCTTGGAAGGAATTTATAAAAGGCTCAACTAAGCTGCCACATCTATGTTCTCACAAGTTAAGGGCTCATTCATTTACTCTTCAGACATTCATGCATTGATTTGACAACTACTTATTTCATGCTCGCTGGGTGCCAGGCCTGGAGCTGGGCACTGGGTATCTGTAGAGATTTTAGAATTTCACAGTGTTTGCCCTTACATACATGATCTCATTCTCCCTACACACCCCTCCTGACACGACCATATGAGATATACTGCTGTTCCCAGGTCACTGCCCTCTGTCAGCACCGTCTGTGCTATCCCTGGGGCTTGAGTCAGTGCCAGGTGAGGACAGAGACCTCAAACCAACATGCAAAACTGGGTGACCCCTCTCCCTCTGCACCCCCATCTCAGACTCTAAAAGGTGGCTCCACTGGTTTTTGCATTTGGCCTCACGGCCACCTTTCCAGAAGTGACTCATCCCTGCATGGGGTGGTTGTGTCCCAAACTGGAGATGTTGCTGGGAAATGAGAGGAAACACCTGTGGAGGAAGGCCTGGACCTCCACCCCCCGACCCCAGCGTCCCTAGCACAGGTGGAGACCTCCGGGACTAAAGAAAACCCATTACCGCTGCAGCGAACTCCGTCATCCTCCAGTTCGTATCCCGGGTCACAGCGGCAGATGAAAGAGCCGTAGGTGTTGACGCAGGTCTGCACACAGGGGTTCTCCGACGCACACTCGTTCACGTCTGTGGAAAGCCGGAGCGCATCACTGACCGTTCCCAAACCACAACGCGGGGCAGATCAAACGGCAACACAAGCTCCTGTGGCTAGGAGGCCAGGTCCACAGGCAGCGAGGCTGTCCACCTGGGACCTGGCAGACTGAGAAGTCAGCCCCCGCAACGTGTTCACTGAGGAATCAGGGGCTCCATCCATATGTCCCTCTGGAGTCCCGCAGAGGGAGGGATAGAAACAACACGGATAGATGTCCTACGCACGTGTGTACATGTACATATTTATGCCTCCTAGGAAGTCCACTCTCCAAGGTCACCAACAGGAATTTCTAGGCAACCTCTGCTCTTTCCTGCTACATGCCACATTCCATTCCCAGAACTCTCCCCTCATCCCTTCTGACATGGACATTGCAAGTAAACACACAAGTGGCTGTGACAATTCTAATGATGACTCTGCTTATTACTGCTATGGAACGAACTGTGCCCCTTCCCCTCTCCCCCCACTGCCCCTTTCCCTCCGGCCAAGTTCACATTGAAGCCCTAACTTCCTAAGCCATGGCATCTGGAGCTGGGACCTTTGGGAAGTCCTTAAGTGTAAATGAGGCCCTAAGGGTGGGGACCTCCTGAGGGAATTAGTGCCCTTATAGACGGAGACACCAGAGACTTGCTCTTGCTCTTGCTCTTTCTGCCAGGTGAGGATTCAGAGAGAAGTTAGCCAGCCACAAGCCAGGAAGAAAGCCCACGAAAGCCCCTGGCCATGCTGGCCCTTGGTCTTATACGTCCAGCCTTGGGACCTGTGAGAAAATAAAGTTCTGTTGTTCAAGTCCCCCAATCTATGATACTGTGTCCGCCCGCGTCGACTGAGGCAATGATGCAAAAATAACATCACGGATAATAACGGGACCTCACAGTCACTGAATCTTCGCAACAAACCTGCTTTAGGACCACGGCCCTGCATTACAAGTTCAGTAGGTTACAGAGAGGACCACAAGAGGCGTAAGTAAACTGTTAGGGATTATGGGACGTTAATTATCTTGAGTGAGGTGATGGGTTCACGGGTATATACATGTGTCAAAGTTCATAAAATCACGTTCTTCGAACCGTGCAGTTCACTGTGCGTCAATTATACAAGATGCTCACGTTTGTTTTAAGGCTGAGAGATGTACCCAAATACCCAGGCTAACAAGGGTGCAATTGTAACTGGAACAGGAGTTAAAGGTCTTTCCATAAACCCAAGATTCCTTCTGCACAGCTGATGGAGTCGGGGAGAGGGACTGGGGAGCTCCCTCCCGCACTAGCCTTGCCTGCCCCGCTTAAAGCTCACTCTCTCCCATCCTCCTTTCACCAGTGACCAGAGTTCCAGCCGAGGGAACTTCTGTCCTCCTCAAACGTCCCGGCAACCCTCTTAAGACTCTGAATAGAGATTTGAGTGTTTTCAGAGTCAAAAGCCTTCACAGTGAGTAGCTTTGAGAAGCTTTTCTTAAAGGGGAGGGATAATCCCATGCCCAGATACTTCCTGCTTCCTGGAACCCCTTGGAGCATTTTAGAGAAAGGAAAATAATAGTTGGCCATGCAGGGTGGGTCCAGAGAGATACGCGCGTCCCCTGGTGCCCACAGGGGTTTGGAGGCTCTCCGCCCGGGGACCCAGGAAAACGTGGTGGCGCCAGGCTGTGGAGGGCAGGTCTGGGCAGGACGGTGCTGGGGAGCACAAGGGCTGGCGCTCATGGCTTCCAGCCAGACGCTGGGCACATGGAGATGAGCAGGCATCAGTCCCACCCTCCCTCTCAGCTGTTTCTGCAGAGCAGCAGGACCCAAGGGATCCTGCCCCGGAGCCCTGGCTGCCCTCTCCTGCCGGCCCGGGAGCCACACGTGTCCTAAGCCCTCTGGGTCCCGTGGGAACAGACTGTACCCGCTCCACTGCTGGATGGGAGGGCAGGGCCCTTGGTCTCTGCTCAACTCTGCCACCACCTGGCTGTGGCACCGGCCAAATTGCTTCACCTCTTGGCTCCTTGATTTCCTTGTCGGTGCAGAGAGCCACAAACACCTGCCCTGTCTCCCTCGTTAAGGCCAGTGCTGGGATTCAGTGAAATGAACAGATGGGACAATGTCCCGTGCAGTTCGGAACATTCGTGTCACCAGTGGGCCCAGCTGATGCAACATCCCAGTGGCCCAGTGCCCGTGCCCAGGCCTGGGTGCTGTGCCTGCTGCCAGACTTGGCACCGCCAGGCATATTATCTGCTCCTGGTCACAGGCCCGTCCCTGAGAGGCTCAGGACACATGGGACTTTGGCCTCTGCTGCGCCTGGCTGTTCCTCAGGGGGTGTCGGGTGCTCCAAGCCAGACTCTAGGGGGAGGTGGGGGGAGAATGGGAGACCTGGGCTGGCACGTCCAACCCCCAGCCTTGGCATGGAGACGCCTCATCTGCCCTGAGCTGCTTATCACAGCAGCGAGGGAGCCAGGCGCCGCTCCTGCTCCAGGGACAAGGGAGGGCCTTGCTCTATCAGCCCCTGGACCGCCCCGTCTCCACTCCCAGCAGAAAATGACCTCTGCTGGCGAGAGGAGACTTGCTGGAACAATCAGCAGAGCCAGCTCTGGAGGGGAGCCTTCCAAAGAGGCCAGGATCGCGCTTTTTTCAGGCCGATGCCTTCCTGTTTACCCAACGATTTAGATACGATTAAATGGAGACATAATATCCTCCAACCAGCTGGCCGGGAGCCCGCCAGCCAGGCCTCTGGTGGTGTGACAAGGAAATGGGCCCTGCGAACGCTGGTGGAAGCTCCAGACAAAGACCTCATTCTGAGTCCAGGCACTGCCTCCACCCTGGCCGGAGCAGCTGCCAGGGCCCGGAGGCCCGGCCGGGGGCTGGGGCGGGCGGCCAGGCCGGGCAGGACCTGCGCTAATTCCTCGAATCTTAAATCCCCCATTCATTTCCTGAGCACGAGAGACCTGCAGATGGAAACCACAATAGGCACGGGGATTGTTTTCCTTACTTATCAGTGCTTGAAGCGATCATGTGAAAACCAGAAAATGCCTCCGTTGTGTCTCGTTTCTGTGAGGAATGCTGAGTGGTAGTGGAAGTGACCGCCACCACCAGACTCTGCTAAGTAACAGGCCCTCCTGGCGTAGGCTGGAGGGAAACTGTAACAAGAGGCACCGAAAGTGCCCGTGAAACCCCTGCATAGCGTGTACGTGTTTATCTTGCCCTTCATCCAAGGTCAGGCCAGGCGTTCTTTCCGACCACCCCCCTCGGGCCCAGGAATTGGACTGAGGCTGCAGGATATGCAAGAACATGGCTGAGGAGCCAAGAGAGCCAGCAACGCTGCTGCTGGACAGCAGACAGAGACGCCAGCCCGTGAAACCGTAGCTCCCAGCTGACGGATGACTGCGGTTCTCACTCCAGCGATGCCCAGAGCCCTCCTTGACATGCACCATGCAGCCTCAGCTCAGGTCTCGGGTTTCTGTCAGCAAGGAGATGCTCAGGCAGGGACACTGGGTGGGAACGCGCTTCCATGGCGGCCAGAGGTGCTGTCAGGCTCGGCAGAAGACAGCCTCTTGTGTTTCACGGCGTGTTCGCATTCCTGCTCATGTCGCATACCTTGGCAAGACCTTCCATCCTCGTTGAGGGTAAAGCCGGGGTTGCATGTGCAGGAATAGGATCCAGGAACATTCGCGCACAGCTGCTGGCAGTAGCCATAGCGACATTCATCAATGTCTGGAAACAGAAACATGCAAGGTAAGACAATTCTCCATGGCAATGCCCCCACCCTACCCCCAACCCCTCGAGCGTCAGTACAGCCCATCCCTTCTGGAGAGAGATCTCGAAGGGAAGCCAAGGGGAACCAACGCCAAGACCAGACCTACTACGTGTCAGGGCTGGTGATACTCTCTGGATTCCAAGGCTCAATCTCCCTATAACCCTTCCCCCCCCCCCCCCCCCGACCCATCTTGGTCCCATGAACACCTGAACTTATCTTGAAAGTTGTAGAGGAAAATTTTGCTTAGAGTGGGCAAGATGGCCTCTAAGATTTTATCCACAGTGAGAGTCCAGTTTACGATTGTATATAAATGTTTCCTTGCCTAGGAAGGGACTAGCTCAAAGTACGAGAAGAATCTATAGCCTCGCTCCGATAGACTCCTCATCAGCTCCGTCCACCATGCCCATGCCCAGGGGTCAGGAACAAGTGTGGGGGAGGACGAGCCGGTCACACTACAATCTGGAGACCCACGGATCCAGTAACACCAGGACCCTGGAGCTCACCGGCGATCTCCTCCTTGCACTAGAGCGGACATACAACTCGGGCTAAACACACCTCTTCCAAGCCATGGCTGGTCTTTCCTGAGCAAGACGCTCTGCGAACAAATGGATCCTTTTTAGCAGAGTCAGCCATCTGACCTCCCTGCCAACGTGGAACAGCCATGGGGAGCCTGGGGTCACCCAGGAAACACATCTCAACCCCCCATCTCAAGTTGATGGGCAGGAAAATTCTCTCCTGGAAGAGAGGATGTCTTGAACGAAGCCTACAGGTGGAGACAGAGTCCTCACCTATATAGGCACCTGCTGTGACCGACTGAGCCGACTGTAGCTGTAACTGGTTCTTACCTCAGCTCCATCTCCTGTGGTCGGCAAACTGTGGTTTGTGAGCCTCGGTTTGCCGCTCAGTTGACTAATGAGTTTGCCGACCGCTGCCCTAAATGAACCACATCCCTCCCTGGCACCCTGGTTCCCAGGGTCCATCTGGTACTCCAGAGGCCAGTCATGAACCTCAGTCCTTGTGTCTAGTTCCTACCACCTGCTGCCAGAAAGGACCCCACGTCCACCTCACCCATGGTCAACCCAGTGGTCGGCAAACTCATTAGTGAACAGAGCGGCAAACCACGGCTCTCGAGCCACGGTTTGCTGACCACTGGTCTAACCTTCCTCAGGGGCGGTGCCTTGCCCCTGTGCTTCTGTGCGACCTCTGAGTTCCAGCTACTTCCACCCTGGCACACACCCTTGCCCACTGAGTGCTTGGCAGCTCCTGCTTAGCAAGCACACGGACTGTACAGTGGCCGGTGCACCTCTTCCCAGGGTGCAGTTGGACACATCACCAAGGACAGGGAGGCAGCAGGGAAAGGAGAGGACATCTTAGGGGCCCTTGGAGGAAAGGCAGCCCCCAACCCCTTCTTTTTCTCCAAAAACAATGCCTCCAAAGGTACCCAGAGCGGGGGGCGGACACAGCTATGGAACTGGGGTCACTGTGTTCTTTTTTTTTTTTTTTTTAATATATTTTATTGATTTTTTAGAGAGGAAGGGAGAAGGAAAGAGAGTTAGAAATGTCGATGAGAGAGAAACATCGACCAGCTGCCTCTTGCACACCCCCTACCGGGGATGTGCCTGCAACCAATATACATGCCCTTGACCGGAATTGAACCTGGGACCTTTCAGTCCGCAGACCCACACTCTACCATTGAGCCAAACCGGTTTCGGCAGTCACTGTGTTCTTAAGAGAAAGAGAAGTTTGGCCTGAGGATGGCAAGCGTTCAGCCACCGTTAGGATGTAAAGTGCATGTGGCATCAGGCAAACCCACAGCCTCCTAGGGGAACCATGGACAGACTCCAAGGTGGGGGCCGCCTCCACTCCAGGGGAGCCCCTCCCAAAGCTGCCCCCTCGGGAGCCAGGGACTCCCTCCCAGGTGGAGGAATATCCCAGGCCAACCTCAGATCAGAGGGGTTTCCTCTGTATAATCAGCCCAGCCTGTGTGTCCCCTGCACCTGATCCTCCCTTGCTCCCCCTGGTGGGAAGTAACTGGACCGAAGAACAGGAGATGGGTTTCAGACCTCATTCACTTGGTCCAAAAAGTCCCTCCTCTTTTGAGTCTCCGTTTCCAACTCTATAAAAGTTGAATGACATAATATCTAACGTCCCTTCCAGTGCCGAAATCCTACATATTAAGTTCCTGCACAAATAACTCACAACGCTGTGCTTATGTTCAAAGCAGCGGCATCAAATTTTCCATCATAGCGGAGGTTGGTTGAAATGCACAGCGACCATCACATTCACAAATGCTCGTGTGCAGCCAGCGCTTTGGTGCAAGTCTGGACAGGGGACCCGCGCCAAGTCTAGGCTGGCTTATCGGGCCCCCAGGAGGCCGCAGACAGGGCCCTGGGGCCGACCTCAACGCAGTCTCAATCAGAGAGACTTGGAAAGGAGAACCTTCTTATGTTTCCATGATTTGTTTCTCAGCTCCTCCAGGGCTGACTCTGGGGCAACGGGACCGCGTCTCAGAGAACTGAAACTGGCAGGGCCGCCCCGAGAAGACAGCACCAGCAATCACACCCCAAAACAGAAATTGAACTGACAGCGAGAGAGGGCTATGAATTCATTCACTTGGCGAGACCGAACACTACAGGGGAAGAAAGGAAAATCACCCTCCAGTGAAAATAAACAGGGCGATCATAGAGCAGATGCCAGCTGCAGAAACAAAACTCTCAATTGGGACGGCTGGCTCCTGAGCTGGAAAAAGAAAGCCAGCCTGCGGGGTGGGCATGATGGGGGGCTGGGAGGAGCCGGGGTTAGTGCAGAATCTGCTGACCCACACGGGAGAGCTGGGACTTCTCTGTGGCTGAGCGAAGCGTGCCCTTCTCTCAGCACGAGTTCTAAGAAGGACAGGTTAGCTCTCACTTCTGCCCTTCCCTGCCTTGGCGATGAGCGTCCTGAAGGCGGGAAGAAGCTGTAGGTAAAACCGAACAGCAGCCTTGCAAATAAATTTAAAAATTCAGACGATGGCATGGCGGAGATGGTGACAACTGATTTTAAAAGGTGGTGGGCCCTGGCTGGTGTGCTCCGTGGTGAGAGTGTCGGCCTGCACACCAAAGGGTCGCAGGTTCAATTCCTGCTCAAGGGTACTTACCTCGGTTGCGGGTTCATTCCCTGGCCCCAGTCAGGGAGCATGCAGGAGGCAACCAATCAATGGGTCTCTCACACATCAATGCTTCTCTCCCTCCCTCCCTCTCTCTCTCTTTTTTCTCTTCTCCCCCTCTCCCTGGCCTCCCTCCCTTCCATTCTCTGTAAAAGTAAATGGGGAAATATCCTCAGGTGAGGATTAACAACAAGGAGAAACACAGAGGTATTGAAACATGTAGGTGCATAGCCTTGTACCCCCCCCCACTCCGCCCCCCTGCAAAGGCCACCCAGCGATGCCCACTTCACAATGACCCTGGAAGCCATTAACTTCCAAGAGTCCCTGTGCGCCCCCGAGAGCTGTTACCTAAGCACTGGCCTTCCAGGAGCCAGTAGCCTTCGGTGCAGGAGCAGGTGTACCCTCCCTCGGTGTTGATGCAGATCTGGGTGGGGTTGCACTGGTGGGAATCCGTCGCACACTCGTCCACATCTGCAACACAAACATATCCCGAAAAATGTCACCTCCATCAGCGGAGGGCCCCGGAGCCACCAGAGGTGCCAGCGGCTTGCTTGTCTGGCTGGGAGGCAGTCGATCGCATGCCTGGGTTCTAGCCAAAGAGATGGCGCCACCTCCAGATGGGTGCCCCTGGGGGACACTGGCATTTCAGGGAGCCAGTCTGCTGCCCAGAAACCCACCAAGGGAAGTGGCTGAGAAGAGAACTCACACCCATGAGCTCTGTTCCGCCACCCTAGCCCATGGTTTTCTGGAAGCAGGCCACCTTGACAATGACCATCACTTGATTTAGAAATGTATTTTGTTTAGGTTTCTCCTTTCACCCATTACGTGGGGGTCTTTTGGGTTCTCTGTTGTGTGCACAGAGCTACGACACCTCTGAGGTTCCTGCCCCTTAGAAACGCTTCATGGAGCCCCCGGCGCTCCCTCCTCTCCTGTGGCTGACCTCTGTGCCCACTGCCCACACCAGGCTGGTCTACACCACTTCATGCCCATCGCTGGCTGGCTGTAGTCTCTTGTGTCCAAGGCAGTCCCGTCTTTATTGAGAGCGACAAAGCTTACAGACCAGGCTGTAGTCATAGTTCTCAAGACATCCGGTGCACACATTCAGTCTCAAAACGGTTACAACTGAAATGAATCTTTCTTTCCTGTCTCCCGGGCTGTTTTACAGGGAGAGCATTCAGATCCTATAATGGGACCTCCTGACCCTGCCCTCTCTCCCTTTGACCTCAAGCCCTGGCTCTGCCTGGCCTGCTCCCAACATCTTCCCTCCTGCCCATGCTGCCCTCGCCCTCTGCCCCTTCTGTGCGCTCCTCACTGCAGTTCCTCCCGCCTCCCGCAGCGGGCCATCGCAGAGCTGGAAATAACATCGGAAACAGCAGTTCTCTGAGCTGTGTCGTGTGCCGGGCCCTCACAGACGTTAGTGTGTGTATCCTCACAGTCGCCCTGCCGATGGGCTTGTCATCCTCATCCTACAGACGGGAAAACTGCACTGAAGGAGCTCACCAGCCTAGCCCAGGCCTCCCTAATCCACATCCACCCCGGGTGGAATAACAGCGGTCACTCCGCCCCTGGGCCTGGCAGGGCCGGGAGGGAGCTGGCACACCTGGCTGCGGGACCGCACTGGGCTGTCGCTGCCTTCTCCTGCCTCTTCTGGAAAACTGTCTGCCTCCGAATGCTGCCTGTTGCAGACTGTGCTGGGAGCGGGGGCACTAGGGGCCCCTCAGTGGAAGCTCCCTGAGAACAGGGGGCTTTCATGACAAGCCTGTTCAGCTGCGACCTCAGGGAGCGAGCATGGCTGATTCAGGGAAACATTCGGTTGGGTGAGCAACAGCGTCTTGGGTTCCAGTGACACCAGCACAATCCACCGGCCGCCACAACTCAAATACCAAGAAGCCGATCGGTTCCCACCCTCCAGGAACCGTGTGTCTGGGCCCCCGTGGAGCCAGCCTCCATTCTCTAAACATGGACAGACTCCAAGAACCTGGTTCCAAGGCGGGGGCTGCCTCTGCTCCAGCCTCGGTGGCGAGGACCAGCTCTGTTCTCAGCGGCAGGAACTCCTGCCTCCTGCTCCCCACCTCCTACCCCCAGCTCTGCCCACCTAGCCGCGCCTCCCAGGGGAACCGCGAACAAGGCTTGGCCAGCAGCCGCGCCTGCTCCATCCACGCTGAGGCCTAGGATAATAAATAATGCCACTATCGGCCGGAGCATATTTACATTTTTCCGGAGGGGAGTGATGGATGGCAATTGTACCCTGGGAACTACACTGCCTTAGGAATGTGTGCTTTTTCCTGCCTGGAGGGGAATGCGGGGTGAGGGAGACCCAAGGCGAGCAGAGCCATTAGGGAGCCTGGGTGACCGCCCGTTCCCAAGGCTCTGTCTGTGTCACTCACACGCACACCATGTGCCCGCAGAGCCCCACAGAGGAGACCAAACACATGCTAGTGGACCCGACTGGGCTCAGAAGGGCAGGCGGGGGCCTATAAGTGCACGTGTGTGTTTGTACATGTTATGTGCACAGGCACACACACACACATACACACACACACGTGCACACACACACACACAGGCACAGGCAAGGCAATCCAACCAAGACACAAAAATCTTTAAAGTTCATTTAAAAAAAAAAACTCTACCATTTTTACTGCGTTAAAGAATTAACTCATTTCTGTTGATGCACGCTCAAGAAACGAACGTGTAACGTTCGCTACCTGATTGAATGGACTGTCAGTATAAACGTATTTTGAGAACTGAAGTCCCTGGAGCAAGCGTGTCAAACTCACGGTCCCAGCGGGCCACATGCCTCATTATTTAAATGAGGTATGCAGCCCACCAGCCATGAGTTTGACATGCTTGCCCTGGAGTTTTGGGTAGAGGGTGCATCCCATCTTGGTATCCTCAAACACGCGTGGTATCACGCTGTGTCCACAGTAAACACTCGGTGACCACTGGGTGCGAGGATGACTGAACATATGACCTGCAAACATCACTGCCTCCAGACCCCAGACACACGTGTCCCAGACAACTGGCTAACAAGACCGTTCTGGTGTGTGGACTGGAAGCAGCACCAGCCCCACGGAAAACCACCAGCCGCCACGTCCCCGAGGGCGGCCACCCGGAGGGCTCCACGCGGGGCTGGAGGACCCACCACACATTCCAGCTCACAGCCGAATCGCTTACATTAAATACATTTGACTTAAATAACAGAAGGAAAAACACGTCGGATCACTCCAAGGACATTCTTTGGCAAAGCGTCCGCTCCTCACAGTGGAAAAGCACACGCAGCGGCAGCCTGAGGAAGTGTCGTCAGCCTGCTGTTCCTTTTCCTTTCTGTGGGATATTTCGGAAGAGTCTCCGAAGGGAAAAGCATGCTGGGTTCATTCAGTCATCTGCTCACCCCCGGCTCTCACACAGTCTTCATGCTCTACTGTGTGTGCGTGTGTGTGTGTGTGTGTGTGTGTGTGTGTGTGTCCTCCCGAACCTCCAGGTCAGTAGGGAGAGCTGGCATCCAGCACAGCCCTCCATCTGGACTAGTCCCCAGAGCAGACTTCGCTGAGGGCGCTTCTGCCCGCTCCCTGCCCCCAGGCCGCTGGAGGAAGGAGCCTGCTGACTCCTCCAGAACCTGCAGCTGCGAGCGCCCAGCACTGCACCCGCCCAAGAACGAAGCTCCAGGCGCAAGCAGCCAGCTCTGCGGGCCCAGCGGCTGTGCCTGAGCCGTCACCCTTGTACCGATGCCCCATCCGTGATAGCAATTACTGGCTGAGTCATCGGCCCCAGCCCACCTCAACCCCGACGGCCCAGGGACGGCCCAGGAGGCTGCGGGCAGAAGTGCACCCTGGGCCTCGGGATAGCAGGCCACCCATCAGGGACATGCCACCGGCTGGGTCCTATGTCCCCTCCAGAGAGCAGCTTCACGCGGGCAGGTGCATGGAGGCGGGGGAATAAAGAACAACCTCTAGTCCAGTCACGGCTTCACGGAGGCACCAGATGGAGGGACTGGCTTCCGGTCATGAGGACACACTGCCCAGCAACCTGGAACAACATACGACTTGTCTTCCAGGCTGACCAGACGGGCAGGCGGGAGGGCCGTGGGCCACAGAGACACCTCAGAACAGGTGTCTGAGGGAAGCAAGTGGTGAAAGGCATCCATCTGTCGGATAAACTCTAGGGACCTTGTGGTACCACATCCCATGTCCTTCCTGGGAGTGGGCGGGTTCTGAGGACACAGCTGCCACCCACTTCCCTGTCCCGTGTAAAACGGAGGGTTCCGCGGACAATCCCAGGGCTAACTCGTGGGTTATTATGTCCACATCTCCACACGGAGGCGTAACAATGAATGTGCTCACATAAATATGTTAGACTTTAAATCATATATGTATGTATGCCAGCTATTCATTATACACTGGCCAGATTATGATGATCTCTGAACGCATAATCATCTGGCCACTCAGTGTAGACTGACCACAGAGTTGGGATTTTAAAATAAGGTTTTTTCCATGGATAAGAACTACATTGTGGGTAGTTAGAAAGAAGCAGAGGACTTACCAGCCAGAGGCTGGGGGCCACTATTTCCTAGTCCCTTGACATCAAGATTTGCAACCTTTCCCTTATCCATAAGTACACTGAGTGGCCACGAGATTATGCGTTCAGAGATCATCATAATCTGGCCACTCAGTGTATTTGAATGTGTATATAAACACATCTGAATTTATATTCCATCATTTATACCTATAAGTTGAAAGGAAAACACTTTCGCTGACTTCCTAACACCAATTCTAATAGAAATAAAGTGTCCTTCAAAAACTATTATATAAGGCAAAGCACAACAAAGCAAGAAGGAATGGTCCCTTCATGGCCCCGGAGACAACACACCCTAGGCCACGCGCCCAGCACCAAAGCACAAGAGGAAACAAACAAAGGGCCGAGGCTCCCCAGAAAGGACTGGTGGGCGAGAAAACCAGAACTTCGAGGGCAGGCAGAGCTGGGTGTGCCTCCAGGCTCCTGCCCGCAGTAACTATGTCTTCCCCAGCGGCATTCCCTGACCTCCTCCTGCATCCTGCAGAGAGAGCCGGGGCGGCCTGCCTCTTCGGTCATCCATGAATGTGTTCCCAGGTCCCACCACTCCTGCCCGGCACACAGGAGGTGCCTGGGAAACTATATTCCTTTCCCAGCACCTGAGAGAGATTGGGGCAGCGGGGCTGCCGCCTCCTGCAGTTCTTGTTCTGCAATTCACCGAAAACACCACAATGACAGACGTGATCCGCTCTGTGGCTCCACCAGAGCCGGAGCCAGAGCCAGAGTCTCCCCTCCAAGCCCAGGCACGTGTCAGGAGGCTGGGACAAGGCGTGCACAAAGGCAGGAGCATTCCCTCCCGGGGTCTCGGGGTCCCCGCTGCACTGCAGCATCTCTGGATCCATCTATGGCCCCACGAGGGTCTGATCCGAAAGCCCAGGTGCATGTGTGCCTGGCTGAACTCC